ACGGTGTCCCGATTAGGAGTCGTCACCCTTTCCCTCGGATGCAAGCTACGGGGCTAAGATCCACGAGCTCGGCTACAGTCCTTCTCAAACCACACATCTCTATCGTATTCTCCATTCTCCTACCTGGCCACGACGAGATCCCCCGGTAACGAATTCTTGGAAACACTTTTGTGCTTCAGCGTTTTTATTTATTTTTTCATCTTCTCACTCTTTTCGGCTGAGCCTTTGGGTGGATGGATCAACCGTATAGGATTGCGAATAGGGAAGAACCGCTAATGGAGGGAAAAAATTATAAAAATTTCAAAGCAACAACTTACTCACTACTACGCCAGCATCACGCGCAAGTTGGGTCAACTAAACTCACTTACACTAGTAACTCAAACTTGCTCTACTGTCTTTACACATACATACATACATCATACCCACATACCGTATACAGAGAGTACCGATAACTCATTTACCTGGGTGGCCCCCCCGCATGCAAGGCTGACGATAAGACGGCGTCTGGTCAGGGTGTGTGCAACACCCTGTCTCGACAGTGCCTCTCTCTTAAGGTTGTCGTCTTAAACTAGGATATGAGAGAAGAGAGGGCCTGCTTTGGTTGTATTACGTATGCTGCATACTGCAAACTGCACTGTAACTCTTCGTTACCATACGTTTGACCATCCCCCCTCCTACTACTCCTCCCACGCACCTTGTTCGTTATGGCTCACCTCAACTCCATGCACCCTGACCACCCCCCCTCATGTACTACTTTCGTTGTTGCATGACCATGCGTTCTTGCGTTGGTTGCCCTTTTTCTATTATTGCTTTTTCTTTTTTCTTACACGCATCCTGATTTGGCATTCCTTTCTTTGTTGTTGGTTTGGGATGGGGCCCGGATGCGAACTGGAGTTCATATGGAGCAACGCGCAGGGATTCCGGGTATTGCTTTTTTTGTTTGGTGTGACATTTGGGCGCTGCAAAGAGTTTAGGAACTGAATATCATGTGTAAGGGCGCAGGGTCTACGGGCATATTTTCTCCATTATTCTAGGTATACGGTACTGATGGAGCTATGGTGTTTCTTTTTATTCCCCTCGCCGTTTTTTTTCCCTCCCTTCTACAGTTCTCTGAAAGTTGGCGGGTAGATCCCGGATTGATCCGCACAGCATAGCGGGAATCCTTTTGCTGGTCTCTGGTCTCTTAGTCAGGACGTGGTGGATATATCCCCTGATTATACCCACACTGGTTGGATATAAGATCTAAAAGCAGACAGCCGCGGGCTGGGGAATAAGTGGTGTTTCCCAGCCTTATTTGATATGAGAATTGTTATGGGGTTGGTACATTTTTACGGGAGAATTGGACAATGGCCAGGGGGGAAACGACTACTACCGCCCACCGGAGTGTCTCAACTTGCATAGGAAGTAAATGTCTAGGAAGGGAAATTGTTTTTTTCTTTTGCGGAGAAATGGCATCGAGAACATGTGGTTTCTATCTATTTTCCTATATTGATACCTTGTCACGCGGGCAATTTGGGATGATTATGCTTATTCTCGATGATACCAAGGCATGTTATGAGAATCAAATCAATCAATGAATGCATTTAGTTAGTTATGATACAATCTATCATACCCCAGAATCCCATCTTTTCTCCTTGTTCTTCCGTGATTCATCCTTGCGATTCAAGCCTTAGGATCCCCCCCGTCCGTCTGCATGTTCAAGGTCTCGCCTCCCAAATATGGTCCTAACGGCCCCCATCGATCATCGACTATCGATCATCGGCGCCGTAGCGCTTCGGTCCATTCGGCGACCGTCGTACCGGGAGTGGCAGGAAAATCCTTAGGCGGAGTCCATGCTACAGTAGCAAGGATGAATCACGTTGTTAACGTTGATTACTTCTAGTATTGACATTGGGGTCTATCTGACACGCGTCTCGAGTTTCGTCCATGACTATCACCGCTCCCGAGATCATGTTTTTGCTTACGGCGTTGCTATTCTATGCACGTGTGTGTAACGTGCTTACGCCGCACCGAAGCTTGCTACTCAACGGACCACCGTAGCTAATGAAGGACTCTAACCCGTGCCAGGCAGCCGCAAGGGGCTGATAAAGGACAGTCCCATGCTGCATTTTATTTCCCCATTTGGTTTGGGTTATATATTTCATTGTAGTAAGGATTACGAGACATAATATGACATCTATATCATACGTCTCGCGATAGACAATGCCATTATACCTGGGTGAACGTGGGCCACGTAGCTTCCTTTGCTTCAGGATTCTACATACATGAACATACGTGCGCGCATCGTCATATACATGAGCTATTAACCCACGAACCGGGATGGGTCATGGGAGCAACGAGTTACAGTAACAATATATCACCATTCCTCCTATATACCTCGGCATAATGAACCAGGAGGAAGTCGAAAGTTGCGTGAGGGACAAGGATGTCTAAGCAATGTTATGTTTAGGTAGGCAAACAAATACGGACAGCTCGGGACAGATCAACAGAAAGACCATGTAGGTCCGTCCATCCCGGAGAATAACTACATAAGTAGGATCGATAGGGTGCCCTGCTGTCCTGCTGCCCACCCTCCTGATGCTGCTGCCGCCACTCACCCGCGAAGGACCAACCCGTCACCCCATCGTCGACCGAGATCCAATCACCCCGAACACGGAGTCGAACCCGAATAGACCACTGTTCGGGTCAGCGGGGACAATATCGAATCATCGATGTGCATTCTGATATCTGATATATTCTTACTCGATGGTAATGAAACCCCCAGTGGCAAGAAACATCATAATCGTCATCATCATCATCTTGCAAAAACTTGGGTGGGCAAGCCTAACCTATCTAGCTAGCCTCCTACGGCAAGGGTCGGAAGAGGAGGCACATTACTTTGCGCTCCTGTTATCGTGAAAGTGTCGGGGTTTGCTTGTCATCATTGATTATTATAGTCTCTTTCGTTTTCTGGTGATAAGATTGGTCGGTCAAACAGCGGGTGCTCAGGGTTCATACATACACATGTAGGTACATACATGCTCGTGCCGCAAACAGATTCCAACCAAATCATGTCCGCATCACCTAGGAAGTGAATAGAACAACGGGAGAAGCAGAGCCTGCCGCAAACTAGATAGTCCCAGCCCTGTAGGAAGGATGCTAACGGGCTCGCTGCAGTATGCATAGCAGCTAGGGAGCAGACTTGGCGATGTTGTGTTGGAAGAGGAGTTGGGTGGTCCAGGTCGGTTCAGTGGAGCACAAACGGGCAGGGTGTGCGGTCAGTGCAGCGTGAATCGTTCCTGTCCTGTCCGGTCCTGCATGGCGGGTTGCAGGAGGGCATAACGCAGCTCCGTCTCTCATTCGCCGCCAGCGCGGTTTGTTCCTAGCTATCAGCGAACTGGCTGCAATACCTACATACTGGGCTACGGTTTTCCCCCATGGGGGTTAGGGATTGGCAGTCCGTGCTCCTAAACACCCATCATCTACCTGCTGTCGGCGCAACGGGCAAAGCAAGAGCAGCGACAGGTACGAAACGTAGCTATGTATGTGAATAAGTGCGCGTACGCGTGTGCCTGTAGGATGTACCCAACCAGGCAAGGCCATCCTGGGTAGATAGCTAACTAGCTCGCAACAGTGTCAAGTGTCTCCCAGGTTAGAAGAATCGGCGGATCTTGTGGAGCCAAAAGAGTCGAATTGGGCATCACTGTGTTGCGCTGTCGCTGTTGTGTAACGGGCAAATCGCCCGGGATATGTGCGACTGGAACTGACTGAGTGACCCACGGGCTGATTAGCCAGATATTCTTGTGTGGGTTGTGTGGCATGTGGCATACCTAGGTCAAAGTTCGCGGAGGACTGTAGACGATGATTTGAAAGCGATTCCTAAAGCAATATACCTAAATCGGCATGCCTTATTGGAAAGAGGGGTACATTTTGTCCAGCAGACATGGAGGAACTAGGGGTAGAAAGCCACATTGCTACTTGGTGGTCCACTTTGGCTAGGTAGGGATGAGTTACGAATATGGCTAACAGGCGGATTAATCAACTACACCAAGGCCCCGGATCCCATATTGCGGGAATGGACCGGACTGAGTACGCGAATGACGACGGCTCCTGGCGGTTGCCGCTGTTTCCTTACTCTGGAGAAGAGAAGGCCCAGAAATTCACCGACCTCACCTTGAGGGACCGGGGTTCTGCTAAGAGGCACCATCGATTCCCTGCATGCAGGTCGACCGAGAAGGGAAGACATTACTTAAGCAATAAATGCCAAGGGATAGCAGCGCAGATAGCCTGGCCCACAAGGATTCCCAGTCTTTGGATTATCTGGCGTAAGGAGCTTCTGCTGCTGAAAAGGCGTTACTCTGGGATGGGGTTCTCCATGACCTTGATGTTCCTTTGATCGTCGCTGCAGGCACGTATTTCTTGGTCCAACCCAGCATCCATTAGTCACATATCACATTTTGATATCTCATCTTCCCTCTGGGGATTCAGCCTAGTGGAGCTGGTCCCCACGGCCCCGACGACGGCAACATGGTTTTACATCGGATACAACTCATCAGGCCATTCTCGATAAAAGGGTACTTGAACATGACCAGGTCCGGCAGATGATCCCCCTGCAACAATCCCTCCTCCGAAACTCCAAGGCAGGCCAAAAGGGTATCATTTTCTAAACAACAAACAGGACGCCCTTCGCAGCGCGCATTTTGCGTATTTCCAAATTCTTGGTACCGTAACGGAAATTCGTAGTGAATCATTCCTGGTTCGGTCACCTTGGCCCGGTGACCCCCACTCCCATCCAAGCTTCACTCTCAAAATTTAGCTACCGCTTATATTGAAAGCCTGTCCGGGAATAATTAGATATTAACTTACAGCTGCGACCCTGCCTGTTATGCTGTAGCATCGTGAACAAATCATATGATGATCGCCACATACAAACCTGGTGTGAGGCCTGTTTGGCATATTTCGCGACGCTCAAACGGCTCGGCTGGCTTTAAGCTGGCCGGCAGATGTCTCGGCATTCTTTATCAATAAAGGCTTAGGAAGACAGCAGCGATCGACGACTTATCATACTTGACGTACTTGCCCTTGCCCTTGTCTATCTCGTGGTACCGGTCCCAGAAGCGATTGTAAAGAGGCTCAAGCATCTGCTGCATGTCCTTAGCCAACATTTGTCTCACTTCCCGTTCCATGCTGTAGGTCTTGTGCCGAGATACTAATTCATCAAAAGATGCGTTGAAAATCTGGAATTTTGCCTTGATACTGTCCTTGTCCTTGCTGCTAAGCCCCTTAAGAATTGATGCTGATTCGGACGAGCCAGAAGGCGGCCGTTGAGTCCGATTCGTGTGGATTACGTCAAATAAGTGCATCGATACATCTTTGCATGCCTCAGCATAGTAGGCCTTCGCTTTTTTGCGCCAGCCCTCTAAGGCGCCGAGCTTGCCTTCTAAGATTGGTTTGAGGTCAGAGTCCCGAATCATGCGTTCAATGATAGTGACACTGTTAGCTAAAAGCACACCCCAAATGGACTTTCCTTTTAGCAATGCCCTCGCTTTCTGCTCGAGCGCCGACATTAGCGCATCTATCGTATCAGTACAATAGTGCGCAAAGATCTCCTTCCCATCGGCGCCAATGTCGAACGATGCCAGGCTAGGAATTCCATCCATACTAGTGTTCGCGGCAGTAGCCGACCTCCAACCATTGTCCCCCAGCGAGATCATAATGCTGGATATTGGCCGAAGGAAGTCAACCATGGTTTGCAAGCGTTGCATCGTCTCTGATACAACAGGCACCGGCGAACCATCCGACGGGAGGGCTTGCATTGCCCCCACTCTCCGCTTCGTCTCCTCGAGCAGCTCGGCAAGTGAAGACTTGCCCGTTTCGCGTACTGGTTTCAATGCGGCGGCTAGGGTAGATCTAAGTTCACCTGTGCGCTCTTCGATATTGTTGGACAGATTAGACATTATCTCGATGACTTCATATGCAAGATAACAGTCGGTGTTGAGATGAGCCTTAATATGATTGTTGAGTTCTCGAATCGTTCGAGCCAATTCAGCCAGCGGGGCTTGACATGTCATTTGAAAAGCTGGTCCCCAGTCTTGTCGCATAAATATGTTACAGATATTGTCGTATTCGGCAACAAATAACCCTTCCATTGCCTGCGCGTACATGCCAATTCCATTGGTACCAGCCCGGTAAATGGCGTCTGGACTCTTTTTCTTTGCCGTGTTCACGCTTGCATATGCTAGGTTCACTAGGGTCTGTTGTAGATATTGTCCTCTTACTTCCGCATAGATTTTAATTAGCGGGTTCTCGGACAATGAGTTGCCAGACACATAAGAGTTCATTAGGCTCAGGCGCGAGATCTTATCCTGTGTCAATAAGGGGAACGGCGTGTTTTTGGTCGTATATTGCAGCGGTTCAATGGAGCGAGGTGTCTCTGCTCGCAACATCTTGTCAAACGAGTTCTCGAGTTGGGTATTTCCAGATTTGATTAAGCGTTGGAGATCAGTCATGGTTTGCTGATTTGCGCGCAGGTTTGAGGTCTTCATATCTGCCAACGCCTTATTCAACCGTTTAATGGAGTTTAGGTAGTTGGATAGACCGGCTTTCTCGGGCCCCTGGCGGATAATCGCTTCTTCATCATTCTTTGAATCGGCGGGCTGGCGAAGTCTCTCTATAGCTCCGATGACGGCATCGATATCTATGGAGGTTTACGGATTTAGTATAAGGCATAGGACACAAAGCTGTTGAGTGGTATATAAAAAGGAACAAGCTCACTATTCCCTAAGACCTGAAGCTTTTTTGTTTCGCCAGTGAGAGGACCTGACACATCTCGCACACTCTTGCCGGTAGCCTCCAATCTTCCTAGACATGCTTGGATCTTCTTGGTCAATTGGGTTGTCTTCTCTAGTCGCGAGTTGAGCACATCAACTTCAGCACGAGCTTCTTCATCAGCGGCATGGCGACTATTAGACAATCCTACGGCCATGGTCCACTTCTACTTTGCGACAAACAACACAAAACGCGAAATTCGAAAGCGACACGGATAATTCGAGGATTAGAAGGTCAATGAGTGTATCGTATTGGTGGATGCGAACGTTGATGTTTAGTTTAGGTTTATGGTGTCGGGAACTGGTGCGGCAGGAAATAGGGAAGTACCTAAGTAATACCATGTAAGGATGACGGCAATCTCAACTAGATGGTACCTAGGAGGTAGGTTTTGTGGCTGAATCTGGGGGCTGTTTAGACCGTTAAGGCATACTATCGGCTGACTCCGCAGGGCTTAAACCACTGAAGTTACGCGCCGTAGTTTGACCGCAGGCGCATGCCTACATCTGATATTCCTTGACCGGTGTCTCATCACGCCAATCGTTTGATCTCCAAAATGTGCTAAATGCGCTTAGGTTTCCCGAGCAAATGCATGAAACCTTCTATATCAAGTTAATTTGTTCTTTTTTATTTAAAATTCACAAACTTGTAAAATAAGTGACTTTTTGCATATGAATATCCATCTACCTATCTACCTATCTACCTATGTAGGTACATGAGGAGTTGCTAGTAAACGTTACTTGCAAACACTGAAGCCGGAGGTAATCGGAGGACTTATATTACTGGATCTGGACCTTAATTGATGTGGGGCATCTGCAACCACTTTACTTAATAGTAGAGACGCGTTCCACGCGAAAAGCGCGTTTAGAGACGCGACATGGATTTTTTACTTCCCCTCTGCCCCTTATCCTAAACAATCTGAATTGGCAACTCGACCTAGATCTTCAATCTTCCCCCCACCTATGTCACAATCGCTCTATACTCACCCACTAAGAACTATCGCGGCATTAAGCTTTTCTTTTTAATTACTATAATTTACTTTCTTTTTTTTCTCGTTAAATCGGAAGATTAGGAAAAAGTTGAGGCATCATGGATAGTTTCATGCTTCGAGATGAAGCGGCCAAGGAGCGTATTCGCCTGGCCGAGGAGTTTCTCGATCCTCGTAAGTTAGCTACCAAATAACCATAGCGTCAGTATGATACTAATAAATACTTCCATCGATAGATGACCAGCATGCGAGGAGTTATAGATCCGATATCATTCTAATGCTTCAGAAGAACCAGAGGCGGTTAGTAGTCAATTTAGACCACGTCCGTGACCACAACGCAGAACTCGCAGACGGCTTATTATTCGATCCCTTTGACTATACTCTTGCCTTTAACCATGCGCTTAAGGAAATCGTAAAAACTATCCCACAAGCACGACCCGATCAAACCGACCCAGATGTCTTATACTACTGCGCTTGGGCGGGCAGTTTTGGTCTAAATGCTTGCAATCCGAGAACGCTATCGTCAAACCACCTAAACCATATGGTATCGATAGAAGGAATCGTCACAAGATGCTCCCTTATCAGACCAAAGGTTGTGAAGAGTGTGCATTACAATGAGAAGAAAAATATTTTCCACTTCCGTGAATATCGTGATCAGACTATGACCAATGGTGTAACTACATCAAGTGTCTACCCCCAAGAAGATGAGGAGGGTAACCCACTTCTAACAGAGTACGGATTCTGCACATATAGGGATCACCAGACGATTTCCATACAAGAAATGCCCGAGAGAGCTCCCGCCGGCCAACTTCCCCGTGGTGTGGACGTCATTTTAGATGACGACCTAGTTGACAAGGCAAAACCCGGTGACAGAGTCCAACTTGTCGGTATTTTTCGGACACTTGGAAACCGAAACACAAATCACAATAGTGCACTCTTCAAGACCATAATCCTAGCAAATAATATTGTCCTTCTCTCCTCCAAAGCAAGCGGCGGTGTAGCGACAGCAACAATTACCGACACCGACATCCGTAATATCAACAAGGTTGCCAAGAAGAAGAATCTTTTTGAGCTTCTATCGCAGTCACTAGCGCCCAGTATCTTCGGTCACGACTATATCAAGAAGGCGATCTTACTCATGTTACTAGGCGGTATGGAGAAGAACTTAGAGAATGGTACGCATCTCAGAGGTGACATCAACATTCTCATGGTCGGTGACCCTTCAACGGCCAAGTCACAACTTTTGCGCTTCGTGCTCAATACTGCGCCGCTAGCCATCGCGACAACTGGTCGCGGTTCATCGGGTGTCGGTCTAACGGCGGCTGTCACATCTGACAAGGAAACCGGTGAAAGGAGACTAGAAGCTGGTGCTATGGTTATGGCAGATAGAGGTGTTGTTTGTATTGATGAGTTTGACAAGATGTCGGATATCGATCGAGTTGCTATCCACGAAGTTATGGAACAGCAAACAGTCACCATCGCCAAGGCCGGTATTCATACATCGCTCAATGCCCGCTGCAGTGTCATTGCAGCCGCCAATCCTATCTTCGGTCAATACGATACTCACAAAGATCCCCACAAGAACATCGCCCTCCCGGATTCACTATTATCGCGTTTCGATCTCCTGTTCGTCGTCACGGATGATATCGAAGATACCCGAGATCGCCAGGTTTCCGAACACGTCTTACGTATGCATCGCTATCGGCAGCCTGGTACTGATGAGGGTGCTCCTGTTCGCGAAAATGCCCAACAATCCCTTAGTGTTGCGTTACAAAGTCAAGACGCCACTCAGAAACCTACCGAAGTATACGAAAAATTCGACGCGATGCTGCACGCGGGTGTTACTCTTACTACTGGTCGCGGTGCCAACAAGAAGCGGGAAGTCCTCAGCATACCTTTCATGAAGAAGTATATCCAGTACGCAAAAACGAGAGTCAAGCCTGTACTAACCCAGGACGCTTCGGAACGTATTGCGGAAATATATGTCGGGCTACGCAACGACGAGATGGAGGGTAACCAAAGGCGGACATCTCCTCTGACCGTCCGTACATTAGAGACGCTGATCCGTTTGGCAACCGCGCACGCCAAATCACGACTCTCGAACCGAGTAGATGAACGAGACGCGTTGGCAGCTGAGGCTATCCTCCGTTTTGCCCTATTCAAGGAGGTGGTTGAGGATGAATCGAAACGAAAGCGCAGGCGTACTCAACGGCCTGAGTCTGACTCATCAGACGAGGATAGCGATGATGATGACGGCGATCGTGGTGATAGCAGCTATAGGGGATCGACGGCTCGCGGTAAGACTGCCTCGTCAGCGCGCACGAATGGTCGCAGCCAACCATCTACCAACGGCAGCCGTCGTCCTAACGGCACGAATACGAGCAAGACTCCAGGTACCCCCGCACGAGGAAATGACGACGACGATGAAGACGAAGATCTTTATAACGCCACGCCACGACGTTCTAACAGAACCGGTCCTACATCCTCATCAAACGCACTCGCAACATCCCAAGTCTCATTCGCCTCTTCCGTACCGGCGTCGCAACTCGAGACACAGGAAGAAGACACGCAAGAAGATGCGGAGCTAGCCGCCGGTGCAGCCGAGCTCAATATCGAAGTACCGATCACCCCCGAGAGGCTAGCGACGTTCCGAACGGCGCTTGGACAACTTCTCAACACGGACCTGTTCGAAGACGACTCGGCCAACGTGGCTCAGGTCATCGAGGCTGTTAACAAACGCATTGAAGGGAAAGAAGCCGCTTTCTCGAGAGAGGAGGCTGTCAAGGCGCTTAAGAAGATGGATGATGCGAACCAGATCATGTAAGTGGCTTCTCCTTTCGGAGTTTGGGCGTATCGATACTAATACGATGACACAGGTACACGGATGGCGATTTGGTATACAAGATCTAAGGCATGATTAATACGACGCGGGAGATATCGTTACCGCCTGAAATTGGTTGATTTATGGGGTTTGATGAGTTATGAAGGCCAATGAGTTTGGTGGTCACCATGATGTATCACGATCTTAGCATCTCCACTGATACGGCCTAGCCGGCATATGAAGCCTGCTATGGTATTCCAATACGAGTATAAACCAATCCGCTTATTAAATGGATATAGAGTGTTACGAAGAGACATAAGAGAGGGTTATGTAATTTGATGAGGCACGTTGTTAATGGATATCGATCGGGATTATTCGAGTAGGCTATACCAATAAATAGGCTCGATATCAGATTCCGAATGAGAGAAGATTCTGCTGTGATAATTTATACTTGGTATAGTATGCGAATCGTCAAAGAAAGAATCAAACCATCAAATGTTTTGAAGGCCAATAGTTTGAGGCTTTGATCCGTACCTATCTTAGCTAAGAGCTATATTATGAACATAACTTATAGCAGGCATCTAATAAAACAGGATGAACTACCTAACTAACTTACAATCAAGACCTTTTATACGTTTAGGAATGTCTTCCAGTTTGAGCATTCTCATTCATGCCTACATGTTAGGAGTTGCTGGTTTAACCAAGACTACCCAGGCTCTTAAGTTTCGCCTCTCCTACCATCCCTCATTAAGAGTTATAACTTTAGGTAGATATATTGGTAGGTACCTAGGTATGTAGTGTTAGGAATAGCTTGGATAATAGGTAATAATCACACGTTATACCGCTCAACATTCACAAAGACAAGCACAAGCACAAGCCCAGGCAGAAATAGCCTACATCGTAAAGAAATCAAATCAAATCCATTTTCGCAGGAAACCAGTCCGATATGAAGAATCCCTAAACCCATTGCCGTGCTATCCCTAGAATAAAGGGGGCAAGTATGGTTTTCTCTCTTCCTTGCAGAGACGCCGAGCAAACGAACACAACGACCCTCTAAAAGACAAAATGCGCTAGTGCTAAAATCGCATCTAGCCTGCAAATGCACATGCGTCGCAATGCCTCTATAACAGGCCATTAAGAGATCGGCTGAACGATCTAGGACTCAGGGTGCTTCATCTCACGCCTGGTTGCACGAATACGTGCCAACTATCCTATAATAATAGAACCTTTCCGCATAGACTCCAAACCCGTTCGTCCAAGTAAACTGGTCCGTCCATGCGTAACGGTCAAATCGTACGAGTGCATCTAGGCAATAGCCAGACCACGGCGTAACGAAAAAAGAAACTCTCCACCAGGTGGTGGACGCACTAAGAAGCTTTATCACCCAGCATCTTTGCAATCTCCTTAGGCATGTCTGCAAACTTCTCCTCGAACGTCTTCTCAAACTTCTCACAGTTAGCCCACATCGGGGAGCCTCGTTCGTGGTATGCGTAGCAGTTAGCGAAGATCTGACGAATATCGGCCGAGAACTGCTGGTCGTCGTGGTACTCTTTGCGGTCCATCTTACTTTTGATCGTGCTAAGATCCATGGGCACCTTGATCTTTGTTAGGTAATCCGGCACGCCATCTTCGACAGGGCGGACAGGTTCACGGAAAGGACCAACAAGACGAGTCCAGAAGCCTATTGATTCCCTGTTAGTATGAAATGACCAAATTGCAGATATGAGTAATTCATGATGTAGATAACTTACCAGGTCCAGATAGCATCTTACCCAATAGTCGCTCGCAGAACCATAGCTTATCTTCCGTGGAGTATTGCGAAAGGTCAACATTTAAGCTGGATCGCTTGTACTTGACGGGCTTGGGCGTAGGAAGTGATGCTCTCGGTGCGGGTTTCTTAGACCCGACCTTTCTTTCACCAGAGGTTAGCCTGTTCGAGGCCACATCCGAGTGACGATGTTTCTGTGGCTTGGTGTATACATCGTCTTCACTATCTTCCGGGTCTAAATAGTGGACATTCTTCCTCTGAGCCTGGCTAGCAGGGGACAGGACAGGATTAACCTGTATGACTGGTGAAGAGTTCAGATGGCTCATTGCGATTACGAGCTCACTGAGTACCTCTTGAGGCAAAGACTTCGTGAATTCTTGTCTGGATTCTGAGGATCTTATGTACTCTGCAGCCCAGTTCAGAAGGAGTGTGCGGATAGAGGAGCCCTCTGGAGCGTCTTTCCACGCCTGAACAAGTAGAGGCGTAGCGGGAATGTGCTGTGTGATACGTCTGCATTCAGCCATAGCTTCGAGGGCTTCGTCGCAGAGACCTTCAATACCTAGATCATTTCCCAGCTTCCAAGAGGCAATCAGAATTTCATATCCAGGGAGGGTGTCGGGGTCGGGAAAGAGGCTCCCGGTGTATAAGAAGTTCTGGACGAAGCCAAAGACTTCAGGGGTGGTTTGGGGAAGTTTGACAATATGCTCAAGCCCGGAATCTTCCCCCAGTTTGTTGGCAAACTGGATGCGATAGTGGGAAGACTTAGCGCAGAGGAAGTCCTTCTGGATACCAAAGGGGACCTCATCTTCACCAACTAGGATGACCACGAAGATGACATGGGGTTGCCTTGATGATAGAGAGGTGAGTAATAATGATAAATAAATATATCAGATAAGAATATTGACTTACAACCAAGAGAATTTGGTAGGGATGACAACATTTACTGCAGCATCCACTACAGTATCCATTACAACGTCCGCTCCTCCATTTACAACCTCTTCCATTGCTTCAGGCTCCGACGCCATGATTTTACCCCTATGTTAACCAAAGGTCAGATAGGAAATAATTTTAATGATCAGACAGGTTCCTCGGAGGTGATGATTTATGCTGATGAAGAAAAGACACCAGAAAGATGTAGTCAATGTGTAAGATGTAAAATGTAAAATGTAAGACAATAAAAGGGTGTAATGAAGAATGAAGCTTTAAGACCGATGCAACAGTTCGGTTGGGAATAGTTAATTCGTCGAGTTCAAGTTCAAGTTCGGATTGAAGGTGCGAGGCGGGGTTCTTTAATAAGATGCAAAACATCAATTGCGGAAGGAACGTACCTAGAATAGTGAGTCAGTTAAAATTTAAATATCCATAATTGATCATTTATTTTCCTACTCACTTAGATTTCTAAAATATTCACTTCATGAGATTCAATGGGCATCAGATCAGAAGCAGACAAGTGCCAAGCCACAGCTTTACTCAAGCGCTAAAAACTTTACGCCACAACTATCGCAATTTAGGTCGCGACTTCTTCACTGTAGATACAGCAAAGTAGGTTGTTTTCAAGAAACTTTGGCAGAAGTAAGATACCCTAGATAGTTTAAAGAGTGCATACATTCAATTCTCCATAGCATTGTTGAAATGGAAGGTGGAAAGAGATTGACTAAAATCTTGTTGATGATGAGTTCCAGCGCGATGTTAGCTTCGCAGCTGCCGTCAAGTCAAGAAAAATGCAAATGGGAAACTCCAAGTCAGTGTCAGGTCAGGGGTGACACCAGGTGCGGGTACGTACAAATGAGCCTCCACCCAGCCACAGCAACCTTTAGCTCTAATATATGCTTATGTAACCGTACGCTGCACAGTTATCTGTTATTGCTACTGCGCGTACAGCGGTTATCTACCAATTCACATACATATTACTACAATTCAATTACAGTTACACCGGATCATCTTAACTTTATCATCCTACTAAGCATTGAATTATCATTGACGCGTCTTCAGATATTAAAACGTACCTATATTATACCTACCTACAGTTACTTGATAGTCAACTCAAATCTGTATAATTATTTTTAATTACTTGCTCATTATGTTCAATTGTCTCTTTCATCACCCCAGTGTTGTGAATGTAGAAAATATGTTATATGAAGTTAATGACGTTATAATACATGTCTTAGAAGAGAAGGGTTGAATACCTAGTATTCATTCAGCTTGATCACTTTAAAAAATACTGTCTATATATTTAAAGTACCTTGCTTATTATAAACTAAATATGTAAGTAATTAACAACTATGTCATTAACTTATACTATAAGAGTTCTTAACATTTAACCAAATCTAACCACCTTAAACTTATGTACTTAGTTTAGGTACGTACGTGTTACACAAAGCATTCACTAATATTACCGCATCCACTAAGAAACAATTCATTCTAGGGCACGGACCACGGGCTTCAACTACACTATATTTGTAATGGCCTAAACCTCATCTGGCTTTCGCTAAAGCACCCCACAACAAGATGTGCTCAAATCATTGCCAAATATCGTATGGTTGATTACTGTGGTCCGTGCCCTAGAATGAATTGTTTCTTAGTGGATGCGGTAGTAAGAATCTGGTAGTCAAGCTTGGGCCATATAACATTAACTTGGCAAATACGTACTTCCTTGTGAATGAATTATAGCAGTTGATATATGTCTTACATTCAGCCTCTAGAGTTTCTCATATACTCATAGGAATATCATTATCTCCTTTCAACACTCTCCAAAAGCACCAGGGAATTGTGAATCGTATCAAGAGTTCTTGTGGCTCGATAGGAAAACACAACTGGAACATGCATCCGTTCACCCATGGGTTCCCACTCGAATCTGTATCAAGTTCCCGGGCTATCGGTTATTCATCGACCAACAAGCGTTCGCATTTCGATCCGTGACAACATGCTGTAGTCACTTTCCGTTCGCATGTGAAAACCTGCCTAATCCCATGCACCTCGATAAACAAACCCAAGAGATCTTTCAAAGGGTTCCGTCCCTTGCGTATTCCCTTATTTGTCGGGTTGCTGTGGAACAAGCGCTACCGAACTGGATCAGCTGTTGGTGTGGACGTACGAGTGAGCTATCACTTTGTTCTTTATATATTTGCGAATTATCGCAAGTTAAAAGAAGCAGGGTGTTAAGGGTGCATCTTGTCCGCTCGAGCGAATGTAACCGCCGCAGCGGTAGTTGCACAGTATACAGTCGTTCTCATTTAGACGCTTACAGGTCGCATATTTGCCGGACCTTACATATTACGTATGTACCTAGAAGATAACTCCTAAACAAGCTTTGATGAAGCTACACCTACTCATCTCGGAAGCTTACTACGCCGCGTAAATAAAGAAAACGCAATAATGTCCTAAATCGTATCACAATCGAATCAACCCATCGAGACATGTACATCAAAATTCCTTATCCATCTCCTGCAAGGAGAGTTCGCTCCAATATGGTCTAGATATGTTAACTTACGCTCAAAATGATTAATTTCCTACCTATGAACCTCTTATAAACGAGGCTATATTATGGTAGTTATTATACCCACCGTATCTCAGACACACAAAGCTTCCAACTAGAGTTGAGCTTTGCGTACTAATAATGGGTAGGTATGGTATCGTAGTCCGCCAAGATTTAGATACAATAGTATATTAGACCCCTAAAACTCTCATCATAATTGATGCCTTTTTTTTTCTCGGGGGTGCATGATGATTGTCTTTTGCTGTGGCGTAGCTGACAGACTGAATTTCCAGGAGTAACGGCACAATATTCCGAGGGATTGTGGAAGGTCCTCCCGAACTCTCACACCGGTGAGTCTAACGTCAGGCCGGCTGCAGGCGGTGCATATCCGGTTGCATTCCCGCTGCAAGTTACTCTTAAGGAACCAGGTTCGCCGATGAAGGGCACCGCGGCATGCATGTCCTTCTCCGCACTCGACCCCAACATCTGAAATCTGATAATCTGGCCAAGGCCCCTCGAACAATCTATAAGCCTTGCCGAAAGTGAGAATACTAGGTCGCAGGCGTTCGGTAGAGTCGATCCGTATAGCAGGGAATATAGTTTCTACCTTATTACTCCGACATGATCGTTTGCTAAGCACATTTCGCGAAATTCAATGGTGTGATCTGGACCGCCTCGACTAGCTTAGCCCCTGCAGTAATATGCCTATCTATCAAGACATGAGTTTATCATACTTGCTATCTGTCTTCGCGGATGCAGGTCAGCAGTAGACTTTTGCGGCTGAAATAGGTACTCATTCGCACTAGTATATCTTAAGTTAATAGAACCATCGATCGGGCGGGTTACAGTTACATGTCTACCCTCCCACGGGTATGAAGCCAGGAATCTAGGAGTGATATTGAGATAGTTGGTATATGGTAGCGTTCAATATAATGGCTGAAAAAGCAAACCTAAGGGTTGGAAGTATAGTCTAAATTGACATTGATTTCTTTCATAGTAGATGGTAGCGGTTATTCTATGGGGGCCCCGTTAGTAGGATCACTAGATTGAGTTGCGATAGTACAATGGATAGTACAATGTAACGGTCTTTGGCCTGTCTACTGCAACCTAGTGCCGCGACCGGCTAAAAAATTAGCTACAGCAGGACCCTGATAGATTGGAATGCTGCCCACACTTCGTGTAATAGACATGGCTCCATGATCGTTTCATCTTTGACGCCATCAATGACGGAATTATGAATGAATAAAATAAATATGGTAAATATAGTTCGCTGGATATTATATGGTGTTGAAGTAATTCGATACTGGCACTGGCAGGTGTGTTCCTATCAATAATAATTTCACTATTAGTGCCAGATATCATGTAACTCGTAAATATGTACCATTTAGTTAGTTCTATATCCTACCATGAGAAGGTAACGTTAGCATGTGAAAATTTTACCATGGCATCAGCTTGTACAACTTTTCTACTTCTTTCCGATAAGGGTAGTCCGGCAGCTCCGAGATCAATGAGAATGGCCGACAGGATGGAATTGGGCCGTGAAAGACCGAGGTGTGGAGTGGCGGTGGCCGACCGTTGAGGCTAGAGCATAAGGAGCCGACATTTGGCCGACGTTTCATGGTGAGAATGTTCTTTACTGGTGTTGAGCCGCAGTGGGGTTTCGCAAAGGGGCATGTTGAAGTTTAGGTACCCATAGTTTTTGAGAGGGATTTATCGTGAACTTTCCTGGCTCACACTTACTATGTATGCTTCACATTCATAACAGATCAGACCCAAGCCATTAAGGACCCATAAATATGGATATTAGCTGGGGCCGCTCTCCTCATCCCCGGCAAGATCCGAACCTAAACGGAGCGTAGTCTCTTCTAAATGTCCGAGTTGGTGTTCTGATCCGTCTTCAGTCTGGCCATCATCGTCTTCTACCTGTCCAAGAAGAATGTCCTCACTTCCCTGCCATTGAGGTGGCATACTTGGCATTTCTAATTCATCGTCGTCTTCCCACCCATAGTCTTCACCTTCGCTATCTGCAACCTCGAAATCGGTTTGACCTAATTTTCGCTTACGTCGCGAAGTTGGGGACAGAGGCAAGGATGCTTGGCTCTTATCTAGGCTGACACCAACAAGACCGTCCTAAGCGGGTCAATATTTCAAGTTAGTTGCGGGGCACGAGTTGACTTACGCTCTGGACATTAAAGGCAAAAACCTGACTGAGGCCCCCCGGGGTCGTCTTACCATTCAATTTCTGAATGCCAACAAAGTGGACGTCGTGGACCGTGTTATTCCCCATTATCCAGTCCCTAAATAGAACTAGCCGAGTAGCAATTCCCTGCTCCCAAGTGCCAGCATTAATAGCGGGGATGAGAGTAGCACCCTGCTCAAACTGCATTCGAGTAGCGCACTGGGATAAAATTACGATGCAAATGTCTCTCGTGGCGGAAAGTTTCTGAAGTGTCGAAATCAAAAACTGAAGGACTTGTAACCTTCTAGCCGAAGGTCCTGGCCCTGTACAGTATGTGAGCAAGTAACCCGAGATAAGGTTATGATATTACT